CTCACTGAAAGAGAATAGAGGGGGAGCAAGTTCTGGAGAGCGCACAGACACTTCTTCTCGGTGATGTGTCCTTGTTTGAGTGCCTCTGATATGTTCTCCTGCAGAGAGAAATGACGCGTGATCAATAACATCATAAAGGACCCTTATTACAGGGGAAAGGTATAAGGAGGATTTAGGAGATATAATCAAAAGTTAAAAATGTGAGTTCCGTATAATGCTAGACGTCAATGGGGAGACTACGTAAAATTGTCCCTGATGGGGTCACAGCTACACTGCAGCTCATTCCTTCCCAGTTCATGGATTGAACTTCCTGTCCTTGGGTGGCTACGCTCAGGCCTTCACTATATCGATAAAAGGAGCCATGGTTGTCTCGAAGGCTGGACTATGACGGGTGGCCTCACCAAAATCTATACCAGACCCTTATATGCTAGATGCGGTCTGGAATGGATTTTAAGGGGGGAAACTATGCCAAAACCCCCACAAATGTGGTTCCCCCTTCATATCAGGAAGCCCCTTCACATCAGAATCCTACCTTTCACATTAGAGTCCTCATTTACATTAGGAGCCCCCTCCTTTCATATCAAGAGTCCCCCCTTTCACACTAGGAGCCACTGCGCCATGGAGAAGCATGGTGCTGTGCAAACATTTTGAGGAACCCCAAAGAAGGCAGAAGGCACCCTGTTTGAGAAAGCCTGACCTAAGAGAGGAAAACCAATGCGGCCACCACATCTAAGGACTACTTAGCTGCCGTGTATCACATTTTTGTTTTTGGGGTTAAAAATCCTTCAAACATTTGAAAGTCACATCAAACATTACACCATGGAAGCAAACAACATTCACCCAGGAGGAATGCACTCTATGACTAAAGGGAATGTTCACCTTTGTTAGCTGTGAGAGGATGTTGGAGAGGAATTCACAGCACACGTCCTTCAGGATCTTCAGGTGGAAGTCCTCCTCAATCGCGCCATCTTCTGGATCACCTCCATCATGGAGTTTGTCGCTGCTCTTCTGCCAGCAGGCCTCCAAGTTCTCCAGAATGCGGGTCAGGCTGTTTATAAGCGGGAGATCTGGAAGAGAGAAAGGATTCTCATTGCTGGACATTGTTCATACCGCACGGCAGTGTGCTCACCGGCTGGGCATTCAGTCGTACCATAACAGTCCAATCAAAGCTTATGACTTATCTGAGAGACGGGCAGACTATGGCGTCACACCGGGCAGCATGCCACGAGCCAATACAGCTCTGAAGTCAGGAATGACCACCAATGGAAGGGAGCACTACACTGACCCACCAATGTAAGGGAGACTCACCCCTCGTCGATGATATCGAATCAGCTATGACTTTGTGGTAAGTTTCCCCAATTTTGCTTAAAACCAATTCCTTATGGTAGTAGCGCTTCTATCCCCATTTTTTGTTCTCCTTGACAAAGTCGGCCACCCCGGTCCGCATTCCTAGAAGCCGCACACCTAGCGTGAATAAAACCCATACCCAATCACCCTCACCCTCGTGGTAGCGCTGTCTCAGGGGACTGCAATCCCAATTTTTCATTGTCTAGTGGCTGTTACAAGACCCCGCCTCGCAATGACACCTGGATTGTGTACCCCGTTTTTGCTGTACTTTGATTATTATTGGCACCGACAATTTACACAGTGCTGTACACAGTGCACATTCAGATCAGCCCTGCCCCCCAAGGAGCTTACAATCTAAGGGCCCTATCTCACATACACGTCATGACCTGCCTTCCTGGTTGGCTAGGAAGCCCGCTTAACTTGTTCTAAGGCAGCCTGGCTTCCTAACCAATCAGGAAGCCGGGCTGCACGTAATGACCTCCCTCCTGGCTTCTTGATTGGTCAGAAAGCCAGGTTGCCTAGGAACAAGTGAAGCCGGCTTCCTAACCAATCAGGAAGCCAGGCAGCACGTAATGACCTCCCTCCTGGCTTTTGATTGGTCAGGAAGCCAGGTTGCCTAGGAACAAGTGAAGGCGGCTTCCTAACCAATCAGGAAACCGGGCGGCATGATATGACTCGTTTCCCAGCTTCCTGATTGGTCAGGAAGCCAGGCAGCCTCAGTAAGGCAATCTGGAAGCCGGGTGACGGGTCATGATCCACCCCCCACTTCCTAATTATCGGGGCACACGTCACCGTAAAAAATATATATATATCTGTACTCGTAACGGATACCGATCAAACCGGTACGGGTGCATCCCTAAAAAGGTAACAATGTATAAAGATTTACTTTTTCCGGTCTCCGCGTACTCCATCTCCGTCTGTGAGGAGAACATGACGGACATGACGGCCAAGATGGAGGACAAGATGGTTTTGTGCTCCTGGACCAGCAGAGGGGGGTCATCGGGCTGACAGAAGTGCCGACACGTCAGCTCAAATAAGAACTCCCACGTCCGCTTCCCGTCTTCAGGGGACTGCACTGGAAATAAAAGAGAGTTCCATCAGATCATCACAACCAGGAAACATGTGACATGTTATAACCGCAACGTGGGGCAGAAAGACCCGTGACAGCGCTGCCGTCCCGACCAATCAGAAGCTTTCTGGCTGGTGAAGGAAATCCCGGCTGTTTTCTACTTGCTGGGCGTGTTCAATATTCTGGTGTCCCCACACTTTGGGGGTTTCTCTCTCCAGTAGCTACCAAACATGGAAATTTCAACTTCATGTGGACTGATCCTTTAAATTATATATAAAGCCGAAAATGTTTTAGCTTGTTTTAGACCAATTCGGGAATGGTTAAAACTGAAGTTTAATCTTCTTATATTTTGTCAAGGGGAGGACGGAGGTCAGATAGAAGACTGAAGGGGAGGACGGAGGTCAGATAGAAGACTGAAGGGAAGGACGGAGGCTAGATAGAAGACTGAAGGGAAGGACGGAGGCTAGATAGAAGACTGAAGGGAAGGACGGACGGACGTCAGATAGAAGACTGAAGGGAAGGACGGAGGTCAGATTGAAGACTGAAGGGAAGGATGGAGGTCAGATAGAAGACTGAAGGGAAGGATGGAGGTCAGATAGAAGACCCCTGCCAGGTTTCTTTTTATTGCTGTCCAATTAGGGAGATTTCCTTTCACTCCTCCAGTCCCAGAAACACAAATCAGGAAGTGAGAGGAAATCTCTGCAAAGTAAGGGGAATTCCCTTCTTGGACGGTTGTCACTAGAACAGGTGAGAAGATCTCCCACCTCCAATCTGAAGGTGAACCTCCGATACGAGTTGGCTGGTTCAGGCCCATTTTATGCTGTACATGATGCTTACCTATAGATTGAATTCCCTCATCCACTGTGGTCACCAGCTGTAATATGTGCATGTACACATCGAGACCTTCTGGACTATCATCCCTGGAAAAACACAGGAAAAGACGGTTAAACGCCACCCCCTTTTCATAGCTTTATAGTCCCGCCCCCGCATTGTATTGTGACCAATGTGTACTTTGAAATGCTGCTTCCTGTTCTCCCACTCCAGTGCTCTATGCTGGCAGAGTGGAGTACTGGCCACACCCCTTATCACAAGTGTCCTCACACAGACTGCAGAGGAAAAGAAGGGGGTGTGTCTGACCAGGTCTGTTACTGAGTAGCGATTGCTGAGTGCACTAGGTCCAACTCAGGACATCACAGTCATGTTTAGACAACCCCGCATAACTGCTGTTATAGGGAAACTCTCAATGCAAGCTCTCAGCTCTACCAAATCATTACTACCTGCTTGCACACTCTCCTTTAGACTGACTACAACTGTGTACCATGAGGGCCTTTCTAAATGCATCCCATACACTCTGCTCATTCATTCCTATGGCTGGTCTCATGGCAGCTCCAGCCATCCAGAGCTACACATAAATAGTTGGGATGGCACCCATGCGCAGTACAAGCTGGTACAGCACCGGGCAGGGCCGGACATTGAAGAACCAGAAAGCGGGGCTGGAGGTAGGTATTTAGGTACATGGCTGCCATTTAAAAGGGGCAGGGGAACATTTAAAGGACAACTTTACTAAAAGATGTGGTCTTGGCCAACGAGTCTGTAACTGGTTGTGGGTTTAAAGCTCTGACCTACCGGCCCCACCCCACCCCACCCCACGGACCCTTGTATTGGTGGCGTGTGAGGAGTGTGGTCAGAAGGGAGGAGTCATGAAGATCAGAGGTGGAGCTTATGACCTATAAGGGGTATATAAAGTCCGTCTCTGGTTCTGAACTCACTTCAGCTCCTTGGCGGCCTCCAGTAGGGAAGGAACAAGGCCCAGCGGGGGCGGCTTCTCTTCTTCTATATCAGTAATCGGAGTCCCTGGTTGCTGGCAGCCGGCTTTTATCCAATCAACCATTATGTCTTCATCCACGTCAAACAACTTGTCCACCAACTCCCCGACTTTAACCAGGAGGTCCGCTGCAAGGAGATGTCACACACACATTTCAAACAAGAAGCATCTAAGTAGGGGACTGGCCCCTTTAACACTTAAAGCTGAACTCCGGGCTTCACAAATATTGTCCTCATACAAGAGTCACGTGCGTTCTTCCTGAATCTTGGTGAGCTTTGTGTATTTCTTCCAGATCTGTGCAGACTTGGAGCTTCCGGTAATAAAGACCGCTCACTGCTGCTCTCTCTCCGTGTGCAGGGTGACTGGTCTTGTCTCCACCCCCTCCTGTAATAAAGACCGATCACTGCTGATCTCTCTCCTTGTGCATGGTGACTGGTCTTGTCTCCGCCCCCTCCTGTAATAGAGACCGGTCACTGCTGCTCTCTCTCCTTGTGTAGGGTGACTGGTCTGGTCTCCGCCCCTCCTGTAATAAAGACCGGTCACTGCTGCTCTCTCCTTGTGCAGGGTGACTAGTCTTATCCCCGCCCCCCTCCTGTAGTGGGTGGGGCCTGTTGGGTCCCTCCCAAAGCTTAGAATATCTGAGTTTGGTAAGTTGGTGCACACAAAGTGTATTTATATCCTTTATGGCTATGATGAAAGAATACATTTAATATAAGGCCTTTTTGTAGTTCCTGTAAGCACAAAGACAAGGTGTATACGTCACAAACACAAGCCTGTGGTATGCATACTCATCGTTACCATTGGTGGAGCTGGTCATGATGAAGCACAGGTTGTCCCGGATGGAGGGGTGCTTCCTGATCCTTTCCAGCCACATGCTCATCACTTCCACCTGAGACAAGCACGTCAATAGCAGCCTGCAACACAGAGGTGGGAAAAAAAAGTCCATCAGGACCAACCAATAGAAAGAAGCAACTGAATGAACAGATACATTGAAAACATACACAACACAAACAAACATAACAAGTAGCGATGCACAGATACCGGTATTTCGGTACCGATATTTTTTTTTCGGTACTCGCCGATACCAAATACTGAGTACCGGAAGTCCCATTCAGGAAGCCAGGCGGCGTGTAATGACTCGCCACCCGGCTTCCCGATTAGCAAGGGAGCCGTCCCCATGCTTCTCGTCACTATGCGACGAGAAAGCATGGAGCCGGAGGTTCAGGTAAGTCAAGCTGAGAGAGTTGGAGCTGTTTGGAAACATGATGACTGTATGTGTTTGGGCAAAAAAGAAATACTTTGCTGGGCGATGTGTATTTCTTTGATCAGGATTCATTACTGAAAAGAAGTTTGAGAGTTGAATACGACTTTAAATAAAACTTGTCAAAAGAAAAACATGGAAGCTGCCACCGCAGAGCTCATCTTCCGAAAATGCTGGTAGACTGGCTGTCAGGCTGACCCTCTTGCAATAGCAGCCTCAACTTGGCTGGCCTCATTCACACTGCTTAGAGTTGGCCTGTACAGATCCATGCGGCGTGCACGGCCGTATCGGGCAGCTCCCGGGAAGGACAGGTGTTGCGTGTGAGTGTACGCAGCACCCTGTTCTTCTCTATGGGAGTACGCGGCCGTACCCGAGCTGCACATCTGTGGATCCTGTCTGCATCTGAGCACGGACACCCGCACCTATGTGCCGTTGGGGTGAGCGTAGGGCAGCGTACCGCTGCGTACTCCCATAGAGAAGGACGGGGGCTGCGTAGAATTACAAGCAACACCTGTCCTTCCCGGGAGCTGCCCGATACGGCCCTGCACGCCGCATGGATCTGTACGGGCCGGCTCTTAGCTGTGTGAATGAGGCCTAAGTCTTTTTTAACCCCCTCCAAAAAAATAAATAGGAAATGTGATGGTGAAGAGAGAGGGGGCAATAATCACCAGTGTGCACGCACCCAAAAGTAGACAATATGGCTTACCTGCAGGTCTCCAGCAATGTTGGCGGGTCCGTGTCACTCAGAAGTAGAAGAAGAACTTCCCTAAAAATAAATAAATGTAAATAAAATGCTGACGGGGGTCTTTGATACAAAGAAGCTACTCTGAAGTCACTCTGTCCCTCTGCTCTCTCCTGCAATCAGCACACAAGCACTGCAGCGCAACTGATTGGCTCCTGATGCTGCTTCTCCCTCCCGCACCTCTCTGTGCTGTAGAGCATATGTCGCCAAACTCCGGCCCTCCAGCTGTGTGGTGGAACTACAAATCCCATGAGGCATTGCAAGATTCTCACAGCCACAGACATGACTCCCGGAGAGAGATGCATCATGGGATTTGTAGTGTCACCACAGCTGGAGGGCCGGAGTTTGACTACTACTGCTGAAGAGGGACTGTAAGAAGCTGATACCAAGTCAGATTTGGGGACTTACACCGCTTGCAGGTTTATTTTAATGTCTTTATACAGGACGAAAACTCACCCCAAGTCCTTGTTGCTGCTGAGGTTCAGGCAGGTCTCCTGGAAGCAGGCCATGTTACCCAGAATTCCCACGCAGATTTCCTGTACAGAGGAGACATCACGTAAGATTACAGTTCACACTGACTGAATGGAAACATTAAAGGGTCGGTCCATTCAAATTTTAGAAACAGTTATTTATTCCCGGAGAACAAACTGAAGCTGAACTCCGGACTTACCATGAAGTAGAACTGAAGCCAGGATTTGATTTTCATTCGTTTTAGGATGGGGTAAGGAAGAGTTATAACCCAGTAAGTTTTTTGGGGGTTTCTTTCGCCATCTGTGTCCCATTTGGGCGATTTCCCTTCACTTCCTGTCCAACAGCCGTGACATCACCACACCTCAACCAATCAGATTACGCCTAGTATTCAGTCATAGGAATACTAGGTGTCCTTTGAATGGCCGCTGTGCCGAGCAAGCAACCTGCTGTGTTTTAACAGCACAGGAGACGCTGCTCAGCTCAGTGGCTGTCCCTATACCCAAGAGATGCTGTGATGCAATGTAGTAGCTGCAGCAACTACAATGTATTGTAGTGT